ATAAATAAACGCAAAATTACAAACAAGAATTTTAAATAAAATACTTTATTAAGTAAATTAAATAATAAATTCATACATAGAAAATAAAACTTAAAAATCGAATGATGAAATAACCAAACGCTCAATAAAAGTCTTTCGAAGGTAGCTCGACAAATTAAACAAAAGTTTTATTCTGACGACGAAGCCTGTAAAGGCTACGAAACGTCAATAAGTAAATAAAGTTTCGTACATTATCCCGTTTAAACTAGTTTTATTTAATATTTGTTTTCTACAATCTTTTTTTCAAAATCAATATTGATTTTCTTTTAATACTTTTTTTTATTTTCTTACAATTATTAAGTAATTAAAAGAATTATTTATCGTAAGTTGATTAAGCTAAAGAGTTCTAAACTCATTATTGTGATAATTTTTGCCATTCATTAGTTCATCAGATTTATAGATAGGTCCGACAAATGACTCCACCCCACCTGATGTTAAGTGAAGGTGAAGTCCAGACGTGACGATAGCTGATAGAGCAGTTTTACCTGCCACACCAGCCATCTTCACCCTGCCGGCCTGCATGTTGCTTCTTCACGCCTCTTTTAAAGGATCCCAGGTTGTAAGAGGGAGGGAACACGTGAGCGGGCAGAGCATTCCATTTACGGATAGTGCGACAAAGAAATGAGTCACCAAATTTCTTTGTACGCGTTGGAATTGTGGCCACAGTTAGACGATGACAACGTAGGCCAGCGCGCGTGGTCCTCTGATGGAAAGGAGAAGGTGGGATAAGAGAGAATAACTCCTCAGAACACTCGCCGTGGTACAGACGATAGAACGCGCTTAGTGACGCCACGTCACGGCGTAATTGAAGAGGCTCAAGGTGTTTAGTCACCTCCTCATCGCCTATGATGCGGATCGCGCGTCGCTGTAACCTATCCAAAGCATCGAGCAAGTACTTGGCGGAGCCATCCCAGAGGTGCGAGCAATATTCCACGCAGGACCGCACTTGCGTTTTGTACAACAAGCACAGTTGATCGGGCGTGAAAAAACGCCGCACCTTGTTCAGGACTCCGAGTTTGCGTGAAGCTGTTTTGATCACGGTTTCGATGTAGTTCTTTGGATTCAGGTCTGAGCGAACTTCCATACCGAGCATGGAAATGTTGCTCTGCAGCGGTAGTGTTGTGCCCTGAAGAGATGGAAGAGGAAGGAATGACGATGTTTTTGCCGTGAAAGCGCAAGCCTGAGTTTTTTTGGCATTGAACTCAACCAAGTTCCTGGTACCCCATTCGGAAATGTGGTCCAAAGCCTGATTGAGTTCAATGACAAGATTCTCGCGTTTCTCCTTGGTTACCGCCAGCCCAGCCGCTGCTTGTCCGAAATACCCCGCATGCACTGTACTATCGTCTGCATAGCAATGAATATTCCCAAGAGGAATTAAGTCATTGATATGCAGCAGAAAGAGAGTGGGGGATAGGACGGAGCCCTGGGGAACGCCGGCATTCACTGACATGAACCGCGAACTGCTACCATCCGTAAGGACACGAATTCTACGCTCATGCAGGAAGTCAGCTACCCAAGAACAGAACTGGGCTGGCAGACCGTATGCCGGAAGCTTGGAGAGAAGGCTTTTGTGCCAGACCCTGTCGAACGCCTTGGCAATGTCAAGGCTGATAGCCAACGACTCGCCACGCTTGTCGATAGCCTCACCCCAGATATGAGTTAAGTACGCTAGAAGATCACCCGTCGATCGTTTCGGTCTAAAACCATATTGACGATCATTAATCAAGGAGTGATCCTCTAGGTAGCGGGTCAGATGGTTATTAAGGACCTTTTGAGATTCATCAAATCATGGTGGTATCTGTCTTAAATACCTATAAGACTTGTTTTTTTGCATTCTTAAATACTTTAATAATGATTTAGATCTCATTTCAGTTAATTACGTAAGGTTAATTGTATCTGTTAGATATTATAGTTAATTAATATTGTTACTCATAAATTGATCTATCTGTGAAAGTGAATCTAGAAAGACTGAGCTACTCGTTACGCCGTAAAATTATTACTAATTACTCTTACACTACCAAATTTTAATTGTTTTCTTGTTGTCTATTTGTCTTGACAATGGTTAGAAAAAAAGTCGATTCTATATATTTGTGATTTATATTTATAAACTACGTACATATAAGTGCAGTGACACTTGATTAACTTACTTATTTTGTACGAAAAACCGAAAATCATCCTGATTTGATCTGATTTGATGGGAATCCGGTCGTATCCGGCCGGACTGAAAATGACACCGGATTGCAATCCCTATCAAAGCCTCATCCCAATTTGGAGTCACTCAAGACATCCTTGATTAAGGCAGCCACCGATATTGACATGGACCTCGTTCGTGCTGCGATAGACGACTGGCCGCGCAGATTGAAGGCCTGTATTCAAAATCACGGAGGTCATTTTGAATAAACTTTACTGTCTTAAGAATCTATGTTTCGTTAAGTTCATTTTGGTATATAAATGGTTACATAATGAATAAACTTGTTTCAATTATTTTATATCAAACATGTGACAGAATTTATGACCTGACTGTGTATATGGGCGACAGGGCGTCAAACGGGTTTGTCAAATGATGTATTCTTTCAGTAAAATAACCTATCTCCAATATTTAATATACTTTCCCTCCGTGTGACCAACCCGTGGGACGCCCTGTATATATATAAAAGTGGTAAAAGTTATATGAATTAACAATTGTATAGAAACTATTCTACATAGTAGATGCAACAGTGCAAAATTTTTAATACTGAATTATATGCCAACCCTTGTTGTTGTATGATCTCATTAATCTGTTGGCAACCGTTGTTCTGTTGTTATTCAAATATAATAATAATAAAACAGTAGTGAGATCATTATAATTATGTATGTGTATCTTAAGTCTACATCTCATGTTGAAAGTACTTTTTTTTTTTTGTTCTGTGGCTGTTTCCGTTTCACACAGAAATTTCGCCAATATCACGTAGTGAGAGAGACACGGTAAGGGAGAGATTGCTCGTTAATTACCAGATAAAAAAATAATATTTTATCCGAATAACCCTTCTTCCTTGAGCTTTTATTATTGTTCTTCTGAAAGCATGCACGCAAAGACAACACAGGTTTAAATTATATAAAGTGTAGGCAATTTAATCGGTAGAGAAAAAAAAAAGTTTAGTTATATTTAGCGGGGATACTAACGTTATAGTTTTATATTATATTTTTTAATATATTTACATAAACAATAAAAGCCAGGCTTATCAGAAACTGTTAAAATAGTGTTAAGGTTAACGGGACGCTGAGTTTTGGGCGGAAGTAGACGATATAGAGACGGGTGTTTCTGACAGTTAAAGAAAATGTGGTCTGTGGTGCCTTCTTCAAGACCACATTCGCAGATAGAGTTATCTAAAATTCTTATCTTTGCGAGAAAAAATGGAGAAGTAACATGGCCAAGACGGAGACGACTAATCGTTGTAATAACTCGTCGGGGAAAGTCGCCAAATTACTTAAACTCTAAAATGAATGACTTGACAGATGGTGACAGATGACAGATGACATAGAGGTTTTTTTTCTCCAAAGGTGTGACGAAAGTACTTCGTAGCAAGGCTCACTACAAGGTTAATTGAATGACTTCGAACATTGAACTTCGTATTATTGTGGTTGAACTTCACTTTCAGGTATTTCCTTTAACCACTAATTATATGACGACCTCCGTGGCCGAGAGGTTTGTACGCCGGTTTTCAGGGTGTCGCCTACTCGAGAGGGTTCTAATCTCGGTGGGGGCAGATATTTGTATGATAAATACGAGCATTTGTACTCCAGTCATGGATGTTAAATATGTAATTTTATAAAAATGTACTTTTATATGTATCAGTTAATGTATTCTATCTGTTACCCTAGTATTCCATAACATAATTGGTGTGAGTAAAAACAAAAAAAAATCTATCACAGGTCATATCTATCTATATATATAAAACTCAAAGGTGACTGACTGACATAGTGATCTATCAACGCATAGCCCAAACCAGTGGACGGATCGGGCTGAAATTTGGCATGCAGGTAGATGTTATAACGTAGGCATCCACTAAGAAAGGATTTTGATCAATTCTACCCCCAAGGGGATAAAATAGGGAATGAGTTTTATGAAACTTTGTCAATTTTAAACCGATCGGGCTGAGACTTTGCATGCAGCTATAAGAAGAATCATAGATGTATGTCATTGTGTATAATACAAGCCTGAGAACAAAAACTGTAGCCTACACTTCAGTTCCACACCGAGCGAAGCGAGGGCAGGCCGCTAGTATATCATAAAATTTGATTTTGGTTATATATGAACCTACTTTACAAAGAAAAAAAACAATTAATATTATGGACAACAAATAAAGATATTAATTTGACACACTCGTATGCATATTATATCCACCATAAAACTGATGTAAGTTTGGAATGTACTGACATTCCAAATAAAATCATAATTGTTAACAATTGTAAAGAATGATGTGCAGTCGGCTAAGACCAATCCATTATCTCATTCAACAAACAATTCTTAGAAGCGGATGCAAACACGTGAAACCGTTCGCAAGTTTATCTCCAAAAATAAAAACCACGTCTGGTCCTGTGAAGTGCAAGGGCGTAACCCGAAATTTTACAAAAACCGGTCCGTAGGCCAATGACATTGGACCATTACGAAGCTTGCATCACCTTGCGAAACTCTCCAGATACTCTTATGTTGAGATTTTTTATGAAGATTATCGAACCTTTAATTAAAGGGTTGCCGAGCCCTTTGATTAAATTGAATTCCTGAAATGTCGATAACATTGATGTTTGTTTGCATATTGCATATTCAAACAAGTGAGTTTTGATATATTAGTAATTATACATTAAATTGCAATCAATTCCATTAATTTGTGACTAACTACATTATAGGATGCAACGTTGTTTTTTTTCCTTATTTTTCTTTTTGTTAATCATACTGTTACGACAATTATTACTTTATCGCAATGTTTAATGCAGAAGTAAGAAAAAATCAAGAAAAATCTTTGTTTTGCAGAGAAGAGAAAACCACTTCAGAGCTAAGTGATATCTTTCACGAATGCCTGGCCACAGCACATTGCGTGCGTATAAATATATGCGGAATTCATTTTCATTATCAGTCTATTTTCTACTGGTGGGAAAGAGTGACGTATAAAATTTTGAAAATCTTATTCAAAGGTTTTGACAGCTTCAAAATGAAGCTGGTAAGTGTGCAGTGTTTAGTGTTTTTTAAGGATATCATTTGGATTTTGACCTTAACTCAATTGTAAGTTTTTTAACATGTATCACATTTTCATTGCAGATCTTATTAACGGCATTCGTAATCAAATTTACAGTGGAGGCAAACGAACAATATTCTTTTGCTCCACAATTCCACAAACCCAGCCAAGGGAGTTACGGTTCCGAAAGTTCAATATTTCTTCCACCAGAATCCCATACACCTATTCCTTACTATCCAGTAAAAAGTCAGAACAACTTACCATTCCCCTATTTACCCCCAACTGGTACTAAAGCTCCTTCAGTGTATCCTTCCCCATTCCCAGTGATTTTATCCTCAACATTAATACCCATTTTTGATGACGACGATGACGAAAAGGAAGACAAGAAAAGGAACAACAATAATATTTCTTCACCCTCACCACACATAAATAATCAAAAGCAAAATATATCAGAAAATACTGCTAGAGTTCAACATGCAATGAGAAGGGAAATGAGAGCTAATCCAAAGATGGGAAATTACCATAATCCTATTGACAGAATAGACATGAGATTCCAACAGCAATTTGCTACGGCGCAAACACAACTAAATCCAGGGAATCAAACACCAAGAAACTTGATAATTGACACTCATAGAAATGACATATTTGATCAGATCAGATCACCTTCATCACAAAATCCTCATTACGTTGCTGCTCATGGATTCACTATTTCATCGACTACAGAACCTGCCATACCGATTATTCGTTTGTCAAATGAAATGGATTTAGATGGAAGTTTTAGCTATGAGTAAGTGAAAGTTCTTTTTATAATTTAAACATATATTATTATTCAAGCTTTTATCTAGAAACGTAACATTGTCCCTATATTTTTCTATTATTTACAGAGCACTAGGTGCAGATCAGACCCACTACGTGCAACATAGTCACATGGAAAATTTGGGCTCTGATAAACAGGAACAAGTAGTGGAGGGATCGTATTCTTATGTTGGTGACAATGGACAAACATATACCGTTAATTACATCGCTGACTCTAATGGATTTAGAGCCAGTGGTGACCACTTACCAGTAGCACCACCAATTCCAGAAATTATTCAAAGGTAAAAAAGACTATTTACACTCTAAAACAAATAATATTTTGAATAATATGATAACAACTTTTTTATAATTATCTTAAAGAAATATTATTTAATTATAGGGCAATTCAGTATAATTTGGCCGAAGAAGCTAAAAAGCCACCTCATCTCAGGGGCTGGCATGATGATGAAAAAGACTTTGACTCAAATGAGAGGGGGCAACAGTTTGCTGCGCCACCACCTAGGAACTTATTTACTGGGAGAACCCCTGAAGCATTTTCACACAGTTTTTCTCAAGGAACTAATAGCGAAAACAATTTAGCTGCAGCATCTAGTTCCCAAATTCCAGTCAAAAGCAACCCCGAATATATAATTGATCAAACGAGACCAAAAAATAATAACCAAATAAATAATCAAATTGCACCTCAGATAACTTTTCTAGCTTCACAAGGAGCTCACGTACCTTCCATGAATCAGCAAAGTGCTCAACAGTCAATATCTAGGATATTTTATAATGATAAATCTACCATGCCGCAGCTTATCAACTACGATGCTGGCAATAAAGAAGCTGAGCTAGAAGGTAATAAAGCTTTGTGGCGGTGGCAGTATGGTTTGAATTCTAATAATTTTAGTCAAACTCCCGAAAAAAACACAATATCCAGGTCCTTTGGAGAAGGCGATGATATTATGATTAATTTCAGTGATATGACTCCAGAACAGTACACAAGAATGTTACATTCAGAAATTGGCTCTAACAATAAGGACAGTGGAACGTCGGCAGTGTATTCAAATAATAATAACCAGTATCATAGAAATGATATTAAAAATAGCAGCCACATGACTAAAACTGAGAACTCAGAACAGTCTTATCAAACCAGTAACTATTTTTTCCCATCAGTGAATAATGTTAAAACTCCACAGGCTGAATCACTACCAACATCGACCACTGTTTCATATGCTAACAATTCTCCATTGTATTATAGTAACAAAGACAGTAGCAATTTCATGTCTGAAAGTTATTCTACAATCAGTACATATGGTAACTTTGGTTCCCAAAGTCAATCATATACAAACCAAAATGAATACAATGATATACCCTACGAATCAAAAAGAACAAGAGCTCTGCATGTGGATAGTGATACAAAATCGAATATTCAAAATATGAACACTATCCCTGTATCAAACAATGCAAGCAAAGTATCTTTTGACTACTGGTCGAGCATCAAAATTCCAGATACTGAACCACATACCATTACCCAAGTACCTACTTTTTATACTTCGACTAATATACCAACTTTTTCAAATTTTTATGAAGAAAAAATGGATTTCAAGCCAATACATAAGCCTTTCCAAGAAACCCGTGAAACAACAACAGTTACTCCACAAACAACCACAGAAAATATATTTAAAACAAATATTTTCCTCAAAAGCATTAATACAAATTTGAAAAAATCTGATAGTTCCAACATCGATAAAGGGAATGAGGGAGAACAAACAAAAACAACGCACAATAAACCTGTAGATGATTCAAAACACATCATGCAGATACCAAATAAATTTAGCGCGGAAACAAGAACGGAGACCGCTGATAAATACCCCAAATTCAATTCATATTCAAAAACAGTTAATGATGTAAAATATTTAAAAGCAAAACCTTTCGAATTATCTGACGTCATAAACTATATAACAAATAAGAATCTCTTTGAGTCTAGTAAATTAAAGCCAAAGATCAATAATGTAAACTATGATAACTATGGTCAAAACAACGAAATGCGTTACGATATGTACCAGCAAGAAAAAAATGAAGACGGCAGTGATAAAGTTATACAACGACCCCATATTTTCCCACGGTTCAACAGAGAAGAGAGAGATGAATTAAGAGGCATCGTGAAAAATTACAAAGTGCTGCAACGTAACAATAATGCAAAAAATTTAGAATCAAACAGCTTCCATATTAGAAAAGACATGACACAACCCTCGATAAGAACGCTGCAATCGTCTGGATTACCTCCCCTGGGACGAGCGGGGCCTTCAATGAAAACTTATATACCACCAATATATGCGTAGTATAGAGCCACTGTGATCAAAATTACTTTTCATAAATTTTGTAAATACTTTTTGGACTGCATTTATTAGAATAAGCGTTTGTTATACGATTAGAAATATAACATTAAAATAGTTTTGTTTGATAATGCGTTTGATCGAATACTCCCAATAGAAACTGACTTTGAAAGTAAATCAAGACTTGCGTGTGCATCTCCGGCAAATCATCTCGCTGTCTGTACTGAAAGCGTGACGGAATGTGTTTGAGAATTTCTCTGTTACTTTGATTAAAATTTTACTATTCAATTAGTATTTATTTAAAAGTTACTATCGTTTATTAATTTGTATTAATTTTGACTCCGTGTTTAGTAGCTATAGTATGTTTTCATGCACGGCTCTTTCGCTCGATTGCACGTTTACATAGTTAAATCGTGCATGAAAAAAAACCGGAAGAATAAAGGATGTTAAGGTGATCATCATCTAAATACTAAGGAGATTATTAAGATACAGCTGGTGACGACCATGATAGAGTATGAGTAAGTTTTCAAGGTGTCGCCTACTCTGAGGTCCTGCGTTCGAGTTTCGGTAATTTTTGATAAGGTGAATCGTATTCACGATTTATGCCTTAATTCAAAAAAAAATTCAGAGCCGAGATGCTACTTTACACAATGATCAACTCATTTATTTTCTAAAATTCCAAACTTTATTATTTATAACTTATATCATCATCTAAGCACCGATAGAAGAGGCAAAATTTTATGATAAATTAATGAAACTTTCCCGCAGGCCTATTAGGGTATTTTATTGAATTGTTCCATAGAAGTAAATAGGCTGTAACGACTGAAAGATGGCAGTAACGGCGTACTTCACATAATATATATACGATAATATCCTCTACACAATCGAAGGTTGGTATGCGTGTACCTATAAAATTTATTTTTAATAAAAGTTAAACATACTAGATATTAGGTCATCCGCATAGAAAGTCGCCACCATAGCATGTAAACGCTCTACAAATCTAACTTATACAAAAGTTAAATACCTAATTATTTCGTATATTTTCACCCACACAAATTATGAAACAGGTGCAAAGCGCGATAATTTGAGTTTTTATGTAATTCTTGATATATAGAATCTCATTCAGGCACCAGATTGGTAAGTAAATGATTATTTTAGGCAGTAGTTAGTCATCATGATCATATTATGCTAATTCCATCTAATAGATTCAATCTTATTTAATGTGATTGCACGTTTAATTAAATTATGCATGAAAAGAATCCGGAAGACTATAGGATGTTAATGATCATCATCTGAATACTATTAAGATTATTAAAATACAGCTGGTGACGATCATGATAGAGTACGAGTAAGTTTCCAAGGTGTTGCCTACTCTGAGGTCCTGCGTTCGATTTCGTCGTCTTCCCCAAAAGATTGGTAAGTAAATGATTATTTTAGGCGGTAGTAAGTCATCATGATCATACTATGCTAATCCCATCTAATATAATCAATCTAATTTAACGTGCTTTATAATCTTCTTTCTTGTAACAGTAAACCCACCAATAATTTCGAATACAATCCTTACTAAGGCCACGTTGTTTCATCCATAGTTATATTTGACTGCAGTTATTGTCACGTCAAATACATAGTAAATGTGTCAAATTTGGTTGACAAATGATTATTTTTTCTCTTGTATTTTAAGCATAGTCAAATTTAACTTTGGGTAAAACAAGTGGCCTAAATCAAATTATTTGCACCTAGTCAAGTTATATGTATACTTAACTTATTATAAAATCTAACAAAGTCTAGAGAAATGAAAGAGCTATAAAATACAGTGAGCTATACTACAAGCAATGCAATATTCAAGATAAATATTTAAAGCTGACTTCATAAGCGTCACATTTCTTGCATCTGTTGTTTTGTCTAGGGGTTTCTGGAGAAAGTTAATTTCTTCTTTAATGCAGAAGGCTAAAGCTCAAATTGTTTTCTCTATACAACTCTACTGATTAAAAAATTAAATAATTGATTACGCTAACCTCTGTACAAAGGGTAGGCCGAAACTTAGTGCACGAAATAAAGTTTCTAACGAAACAAACGAAAGCAAACAGAATTTTGTTCCAGATGATAAAATAGCCGAGAAACAGGCTGAAAATTCCAATAAACTTAGGGTATAACCTCCAGATGCGACAGCATGCACAATACACGCGGCTGATTGCGTCGCGACGGCAGACTGCGCAAATTAAGAATGCCATACATTCGAGCAAACTTAGTTTGTATGACGCAGGCTTCTAATCACAACCCAGACTCGATTGTGTAGACGAGTATTTTGACTAGACTGTGGCTATACACTCGCTTACGTTTCTTACAGTCATGTTTGATCCTCTCATCAACATCAATCAACTGCTTTTCTTCCTAAAATATACATATAGGTGTATGATAATAGCATCTCCAACTCTAACCTCCTCTTTATTACTAAACCACGATTTTTATTCGTTCTAGGCAGTGACTAATATAGTACGTAATTGAAATTTCTTTTTGGAAGACTTCTAATAGAAATAGCAATGTAATAAAGCATACATTTTAGGACTCTACAATGCTTTTTTCCATTTCATTTTCAGTTTACTACACACTCAAAGTACTTACCTACCTTGAAATAACTACCTACCTTTGTTTCATCCATCTTGACGACCTCCGTGGCCGAGTGGTTTGTACGCCGGGTTTCATGGCTGTCGCCGACTAGAGGTCCCGGGTTCGAATCCCGGTGGGGGCAGATGTTTGTGTGATGAATACGAGCATTTGTACTCCAGTCATGGATGTTTAATATGTATTTATATAAATATACTTATATATGTACAGTATATGTATTCTATCCGTTACCCTAGCATCCCATAACACAAGCCTTAAAGTGCTTACTTTGGGGCTAGGCTAATTGGTGTGAGTGTCGGAAATATTTATTATTATTATTATTATCCATATGGAAATAAAAACAGGTAATAACTGTTTTTCGTTACAAAGTTCACATTAAAATAAATATTGCTTTATTGCCGACAGGAAAGCACTCCACAAGCGACATTAAAAAGCGGATACAAAAAAGAGAACGACTTAATCTCATGTACATATTTATATCTCAAACACTTTCCAGCAGGATATCATGATATCATCCCTATAAAGGTTTGCAGAAAAACACAAAGAATACCGAGACATTACTCAATTTTGTTATCTGGAAGATGTCACACAAACAAATTGTAGCGATGCCACAGAGATCGATTCGCATACGACATCAAAGTAGAAACGCAAATAGGAGCATACAGAAAAATATGTAAATTGTGATGCCACAGCACAAGATCAAAGTCTTGGGAATACTGATTCTCGCCCGCCGTCGAATGCTGCGCCCTTTTATTTGTCTATTTTACTTCGATTGACTGGTGCACCATATTGCATTTGTACCAGATGTAATTCGAAATGAATTTTGAAAGGTTCTATGAAAATATCAAAATTGTATTTGTCAAAAAAATGTGGTTGGGCTGTTCTAATGAAAGTTGCGTTTCTACTATATGTATGGGCAATACTATAGCTTTAAAAAATGATTGGTATCGCAATCATCATTTTTCCGTAGCTTTATAGGTATTATGAAATGATTTGGCCTTTAATTGGGCTTCTTTGGGTTTCTGAACTAAATTATCAAATTCAATCTAACAAAGCTATCAAATCCAATGTTAACTGTAAATTGGTTTGCTGAAAGCTACTAACACTCTGTTAATTGATCGAGCTTTAAATTGAATTTTTTTTTAGAATTGTATTTTTATTTGTTTGTTGTCACAAAGTACGTTCATAGTTTCGAAATCAAAATGATCAAAGATTAATTAATCTTCGTTTCAGAAAAAATCAAGCAATTTAGTTGATTGGTGATTACTTGAAGCAACTGGTCGATCAGCCCACCAGGATTCCAGATATCTCAAGTCAAGCGCCTTCATTACTGGACCTTCTGCTCACGACCCATCCACAGGGCTATCAGGTTGTGGTAGGAGCCCCCCTGGGCTCTTCAGATCACTGCCTGATATCTGCCAAAGCGCCACAGGCCAAGCCTCCGCGTCCAACGGTGGTAAAACGCCGGATTTGGCATTATGGGTCGGCAGATTGGGACGGTATGCGTGACTACTTTGCGTCCGTCCCTTGGAAGCAGCGCTGCTTCAGTGACAAGGACCTATCGGCTAGCGCCGTTGCTATTACTGAGGAGATTGTAATGGGTATGGAATACTATATTCCTCATTCCAATCTCATCAGTAAGGGCACACGTAACCTCTGGTTCAATCACGACTGTGCTGAAGCTGCTTCGCGTAAGCAAGCGGCATATCGTGCTTGGATCAGAGGCCGCGCTCTTAAGGATCCCGGGGTCGATTCACTAAAAGCAGCCTACAATATTGCTTCCAAGGCCTGTAAGAAGGCTTACATCAGAGCGGATGCCCAGCGCGTAGCACGTGTTGGTCACGAACTTGTAACGCATCCTACGGGCTCCCGTAACTATTGGCGTTTGGCCAAGGCCGTGCAAAAGAACTTCTGCCAGCCCCCGCTGCCACCTCTGAGATGCCCAGACGGAACACTAGCTCATAAGCCGCAGGAGAAAGCCGATTTACTGGCAAAACTCTTTGCGGCTAACTCCCGAATCGATGATTGAAATGCACCGCCACCATCATTACCTCATTGTGGCACAACGATGCCGGATATCAAAATCAGGCAGCGTGAGGTTCGTGCCGAATTGCAATCACTCGACGTCCGGAAAGCTAGTGGACCCGATGGCATCCCAGCAGTAGTACTGAAAAAATGTGCAGCGGAGTTGTCTCCCGTGCTCACGCGTTTGTACCAGTGCTCGTATTCTTTGGGGCGTATGCTGGAAACTTGGAGAGATGCTAACGTGCAACCGGTACCCAAAAAAGGGGATCGCTCAGACCCGGCTAACTACCGGCCAATAGCAGTCATCTCAGTATTATGTAAAGTCCTAGAAAAGGTCCTTAACAACCATCTGACCCGCTACCTAGAGGATCACTCCCTGATCAATGATCGTCAATATGGTTTTAGACCGAAACGATCGACGGGTGATCTTCTAACGTACTTGACTCATATCTGGGGCGAGGCTATCGACAAGCGAGGCGAGTCGTTGGCTATTAGCCTTGACATTGCCAAGGCATTCGACAGGGTCTGGCACAAAAGTCTTATCTCCAAGCTTCCGGCATACGGTCTGCCGGCCCAGTTCTGTTCT